AAGAGATCATGTGATGATAAAAATGTGTGAGAATGGACAAACCAGCAAGTTTAGCACACTGTAAAACCTCTGAAACATGTTTTGGTCACTCTAAAACGCCTTACTATTTCAGTATTAGTGTTGTTATATTATTAATGACCTTAAGAATCAAGAGCATCTGTGTTCCGTGTCTCATGCCTTCAAATGCCACCACGCTTTCACTGCGTTTCAGGATTACCTACTGAGACGAAAGCCATTTGTTAAATAAAAAAAAAAGATTTGCGCAGCTTCTCCTGCCGCAGCAAATTTTGTTTTTACTCTTGATTTGGCGCCAGTTAATCAGGAAGTGGCGATTTTGTTCACTTTGACTTGTTGGATGGAAACATTGCATAAAATACGTGCGAATAAAGCAGTAATCCAGTTTTGTGTATAAAGTTAATTTGCATATTTGGATGCAAACATAGCTAGTGATAAGCTCGAAACTTTACTGATAATCTAATTATCATAATTATAATAACAGCAGAAATGTGCGACAATAGGAATCAAAAAGTATGTTGATATTACAGGGTATATGTAGGAATCCTAAAGGAAATTTCAATACCTTTTAAAGACTTTTTAAAGACCTTCTCAGAATATTTTAGTTCTAATTAGTATCAAACTTTTAACTTAATAAACAGTTGTAGTTAAATAAACTAGTGGAGCACAACCTTGCAACAAAACTCAGATAAGCTCAAAAGCTTAAAAGAATAAATTACACGGTTGTTTTCAGCGACAGGCTTCAGCCACTGTTTAAACTCCTGTTTCTCTAACCAGGAGTACGCAAACTTACATTTTCCCATTTTGCTGTCTGTTTTGCTCTATGGTTTACTACATGTGGAGAGCTTCACATCACCAAATTGCGTGACATCACCCGGACGAAGGGGCTTGACCGGATGCGCCCTGGCCCGAACCAATGGTGTGGTTTGAGCACACTGTTGTTAATATTAGAAGGAAAATAAATATATTTATGCTTTTTTTTGGAATCAAACACTGGACAATGCTTGAACAAAACTTAAGACCTCGTAAAAACATGATTAAGACTTTTTAATACCTTTTAAGGGCCTTAATTTTCGCATAATTGATTAATCAACTTTTAATACTTTAAGACCCCATGGAAACCCTGTATTAGAGATATACCAAATTTTCGGCCACAGGAAATGTAAACTGAAAATGTGTTATGCCATTTAATGTACCCTCTACTTTTTGTGGCTTCAGTAATTGTTGGGATACTTTTTAAAATCTGGAAGCATTAACAGTAAATATACATCGTTATCAATCAATATGAAAAATAATTATTGAGATTCCATTTTTGCCATATTGCCCAGCCTATGTTAAGGTACCGTTAGTTTGCATCAATGAGCTGCATGCACAGCTAGTGTTTTCCATCCAATGATGAACTTCCAGTGAAAGCCAGGCAGTGAAGGTTGCTGCTTTTTTAAAGAAATTAGATCTTAAAAGTGGCGATTTTGTATGGAATGACAATTCTGACTAAAAGTCTGTGTGCAAGTAAGTAACCCATTCAATGCATTTTTTAATACTTGTTGAGTAATCCCCTTTCCTGAAAGCTTGTACCTTTGGTGCATTTTAAAATACTTTTTCAAATGTCTTTAAAAAAATTGAGATTTACCTCATAACTGGCAGGTCTGGCTCAGGCTTTAAAGAAGACTTTAAAATCCTTATATTAAGCATCAATGGACAAATGCGCTTTAAGAAACAAGCACTGAAAAAAAGTGTCTGAGAGGGATCACTGCATTTTAAAGGTGCGTTCACGCAATCTTTTAACCCCAAAATAAGATTCCAACTCATCTGGATCACAATTACAAGTTTCATACTAAGGATATTCTGAGAGCTAAACTAGTACCATGTGACCTCTCTACAGATTAATTTAGTGTTGTCATAGAAACACATTTCTGAGCCGAAGGATGTGAACAGCTTCAGAACAGAACATCATCTTGAAATGTAGATAATTAAGCGAATGCACCTTACATTATTTCACAGACAACATATTCACTTCTCTATCTTGTATTCTTTTTGCACAATTCTCTAGTTCAGAACTTCTATAAGATGCATGTCTGGCCATCACGGTTGACAAAACAAATCCCACAAAAACACTTTTCAGACAGCCTGCAATTACGCATACGTGTAGCGCAAAATCCAGGTGTTGGAGTGCTCAAACTGAAAGGAGGCATTCAGTGAAACCTGGAACCAATTTGAAGCTGAAATGCTACTGCTCCTGAAAAACGAAGATCTCCAATTCTAGTCAGAATGAGGGCTGAGCTCTTTTTTTAATGAGGAGGGTTTTTTTCTTGTCTGTAGCGATTTAGATTGCTGAATGGACTGACTCGGGAAGGAAGACGCAAATCATTACGGCTCCAGAACTAAACTACTAAAGAGCCCAGTGCCAACAGCTCATTACAGAGGCTGTCTAATTGAGCCCGATCAGCTAAAACACAGCGAGCTGACAGCGGCAAATAAGAGGCTGAGAGGCATGAACACACTATATATGTCAGCGGACACAGTAGTTTTAATCAAAAACAAGTCAAAGTTCCCCGGGTGCTTCTGTGCCTATGAAGACACTGACCTAATGATCCAATTAGAGCATTACTGGACTGTGTCTCACCGCTTCAACATGAGATACTCCCATGAGCCCTTGATAGGGAGCTGATGTTTAAATGAATTACCTAAGCATAGGTCAATCCTTCCTTGATTTTAAAGTAGGATTATTTGTATGAGGTTAATTGGGATCACAGGGATAAGTTCAATTAGTTTAGTTCTACCTTCAGACAAGAGAGCACAGGATTTACTTCTCTCAAATTCCCTTGCCGAAAGCCAGAAGAACGATAGATGCAGGAGAATGAAAGCAAATGCACTGCAGTAATTTGAATTAATGTTAACAGAGGCACTTTTGTGTACTGATAAAGCGGGTGAAGGCTCTGTGGACTTAATAAAATAAGTCATTCTGATAAGTCCACCAAGAATAACATACAGTGCTAAATAGGCTTTTAAAGTTACATTAATCTTTTATTTTGAAATGTGCATAGCAATTAACTTATAAACTGTGAAACATTTTCATCTCTCATAATAAACTTTTATGCCTATTCAGTTTTTAGGTACTAATATATTAAAAATAGATGTAACCAATTGATTTATGATGTATATACCTATTCATTATATAATAGAAAACAAAAAATATACTAATCATGTGTGTATATATATATATTAGGCAGTGGCGCAGTAGGTAGTGCTGTTACCTCACAGCAAGAAGGTCGGTGGTTTGAACCTCGGCTCAGTTGGCGTTTCTGTGTGGAGTTTGCATGTTCTCCCTGCCTTCGCATGGGTTTCCTCCGGGTGCTCCGGTTTCCCCCACAGTCCAAAGACATGCGGTACAGGTGAATTAGGTAGGCTAAATTGTCCGTAGAGTATGAGTGTGTGTGAATGTTTCCCAGAGATGGGTTGCGGCTGGAAGGGCATCCGCTGCGTAAAAACTTGCTGGATAAGTTGGCGGTTCATTCCGCTGTGGCGACCCCGGATTAATAAAGGGACTAAGCCGACAAGAAAATGAATGAATGATTATATATATAGTGCTCAGTAGTCATGGGCCAGTATAAGATTCTGACTGTATGATAACCTTGAATAAAAATATCATGGTTTCGCAGTATTGCAATTACTGCTCTAAAATATATTCTTTTAAAATGTCTGGGTAAAATCAAAAAACATTTTTCCCCTTTTAAACACAATATACTTTATGTTAAGAAACATTTAAAATGTTTTGGAACAGTAAACATGTCTGGCTAAATCATTCAAATGAATTCTTGACTTCTGCAGTCTTCATTAAAAATCAGTACTGAAAGCAAATCTAGAGCTTATCTAACAAAATAACTTACAATAACAGTCCAAAAAAACTAGTATACACATATTTATGTAATAGAAAAACATAAAATACATTTTTTTTAAAAAAGAGGAAAATCAAGAGAAGCAAAAAAAATGAACAGAAATCTTGCTTAAATTTTGTAGATTGTTTTTTTTTTTATATTTTGCTCTAATTTAATTGAAACATCTTTCAATTTCTAAATATGTTTGGTAACTAAAATATTATTTTAATAAATATATCTGCTTAATAAATCTATTTTGTTTAAATACACCAAAATACATTGCCTATATTCACTAAGAAATTAATTTCAAAAAGGGGTGTACTCAATTATGCTGAGCACTATATATATATATATATATATATATATATATATATATATATATATATATATATATATATATATGACAAACACACACACACACACACACACACACACACACACACACACACACACACACACACACACAAGTATGATTAACCTCTCATTTTAAGATTTATAACACTGTTACGTTCAAAAAGTATTTCATGTCATGCAAATGAGATTGCAATGCATATCAAAGTCAACCAAAGCCTGTTTACACTAAAAAGGAGTTTCATACATCCTTCATTTTAGAATTGTTGTCTAATCAGCATCTATAGACAGAGACACGACCAAAACGCCAGATATAGAGAAGTGAAAAATACAAAGACCTGCAATGCAAAGCTTGATACAGCTTTGGTAGTTTCATTTTCATGAATTTCACGTGTTTTGCATATCCAGACCACTACAAGTATCATGCATCTCCACTAATATCCCATAATGGCCTAATTCACTAATAAGAGCTTTGCCTCTGCGTAATGTTTGCACACTAGAGCTTAAAACTTCATTGATCTCATTTAATTCACGCTAATTCATCCCATGCAGCCCGAGCCAGCCTGTCAAATTAGCCATCAACATGTGTCATTTCACTTTCTAAGTTATCCAAAAGTCAGTCAACACAACAGATGTCCTCGCTTGCTTATATTTATATTAGACATAAACTGAATGTCACCCATCAGCTACCAGAGCGGGTTAGCTAACACAAAACCCACCCGAACTGTACAAAAACGCAGTTTCACAAAGAAAATGTACCTTTCACGAGCCGTTCGGTGGTGGATTGTTTATTCTGATCCTTCCCCGACATTCTTCAGTGTTTCTCGGTGGAATATTTGTAATTCCTTGTTGTAGCTGAACCCAGCTAGTCGTGTTAGCCCGCTAGCTCGGCTAAGCTACTGACAAAAGTCCTGACCGCTCCGCTGTGAAAGCGGGGAAACGGAGTCAGAGAGCTCGTCCGGGTCGCTTTACTGATATGTTCGCTCAAACGGTGGGGGAAAGGGGAAGGGGGAGCCCACTGCAACGGCAGAGTTTTATTTTCTGCCGTGTCTGTCCTTCGGGTTTGCTCACACAGGCGACCCAGCTGCTGTCAATTTCTCTGAGGGAGTAGCGATGTCCGACTCGTAGACGAATCGTTCATTTGAGTCGGATCATCTCAGGGAATCGTTTGAACCTGTTCATAAACCCAGCCTGAACGGTTCGCAGACGAAAAGGACTCGGTTCTCGAGTCAACACTTCACCGATTCACTGAACTGAGAACCGTAGAGAGCGAGTTGAGCAAAAACCTAACTAATCACTGATAAAATGCATATTCAGATGTTTTATTAACAGCTTTGTTCATTTGAAAACATAACATTTACAAGCAAAACATTTATTGTAAAACACAATACATACACACATAGACATAAATATGGCTGACTCTAATAAAACATCGTCAACAAAAAAGCGTTTGAGTACATAACGTTATATATAAATTTTGTGTGTGTGTGTGTGTGTGTGTATATATATATATATATATATATATATATATATATATATATATATATGTGTGTGTGTGTGTGTGTGTGTGTGTGTGTGTGTATAAGGTTTAAAAATAGATTTTAAAAAATAATAAAATGCAAAAACCTACACAAATCTAAAGCATATCAGTTACAATCGATTTCCAGTATAATTTACAACTTAAAGTAATTGTTTATTTTTATTATTATTTTTTTTAACTTCATTTGAAAATGTTTGTGAACATTTGTAGCACTTCTTGTCTAAACAATAAATTTTACTAAACGTTTAATTGAATTAATGCCACTGGTATAGTTTTTATAGGAAATTAAATGATTTTTATAGAACTATTAAACTCATCTAACTCAGTCGGGATGCCATTAAAATATGCAAAATATGTAAAAATTTAAATTACATAGAGGGAGAAAATACTTATTTATGTCACTAGCTTTTAGCTTCTTTTCTTAAAAAATTACATGTGGGCGTAAAAAGGAGTCAGAAAAAGCAATAGCCGTATCCCATTTTTTAACAACAAAAACAGAATTATATAGTAATATACAAACTGATATGCCATATTGTACATAAAAACATTCAGTAATTAAAAATATCATATTCTTTAGGATTATTACACATCTTTGCTGTTTAATTAACAATGTTCTCAAACTTGTGCAGTAGCGCAGTCTCTTAAAGGAAATGAACAAAATTTGGCTTTGATCCAGTCCATTTTTACGCATATGAAACTTTACCATTATAGTAAAAAGTTGTACTAGAAAGGTACGTTTTTGCATTTATTTACATAATTAATGCAAATGTCAAAAATATGTAAAGTAGCTTTTAGTTTACGTTGCCACGTCAGTGACGCAATAACGCCATGACGTAAAAGAATCGATAAATTTGTTGTAGCTCCGAACCTTGAAAATGAACTGTCCAAAAGAACCGATTCCCGAAAATGACTCGTACTTCATCTGTATGAGGAAAGAGAGGCGGGGGTGCCTAAGGCGCGCGACAATAAAAAGGCTCTCGCTCGAGATTTTGGCAGTTTTTGTAAAGCGATCACAGCGGCTCTTTAATACTAAAATGTTTTCAATTTGTTTTTACTGTAACGCTCAAATTCATGTTTGTCTTTCCGGTTTCTTGCTCGATCCACTGAGTCGCCCTGACTCCCTTCTTGCGGATTAAACTCTAATCCATAGTGCAAACGGATTTCCTACAATATGGCGGCCTGTGCTCAGCACGCACATTTGTGGGTAGTGTAGTCTTTAACATGAATAGGATATCTAGGCGAGTTGTGCATGGTTACAAATAATCATAATAATCATCCGAACACCACGATATACAGAAGCCCAAGCAGGAGAAGGTCAGAATAGTGAATGGTAAGTTAGAGGATTCATAAACTGTAATCAAGCATCGTCACCTAGTGGTCAAATTGAGGAGCCTGATTCTTTAATGTTCACTAGGTTATAAACCAAACTAGGCTATTTCTTTATGCTAAAAGAGAAAATAAATGTGGTTCTACACAAGCAGGGAAACTTTTGAATTGAGAATAATCTAAGAAATCCAGAATATTGATTGAACTAAAAAAAAAAGTCTTTGTTTTAGTTCTCTGTGGTTTGTAAACTTGACTTGCTCTAAAAGCTACATTAAAAATAAAAATGTGTTTTACACAATTAGAAAATGTTAGAATTGAGAAGTGAGAGGACACAAAATCCATAAGCAGTAGTCCAGCATTGTCATCTAGTGGTCAATTTGAGAAATGTCCTTTTTTTCATTTGTTGATTACCTTGTAACCTGTATCAATAAACGTGGTTGCTGACCTACTCTTGTAATTTGTTACGCTGAAAAAAAATGGTTTTGCCCAATAGTGATATGCAGATCACAGTAAATTCATTTATTCATTCATTTTCTTTTCAGCTTAGTCCCTTTTCTAATCTGGGGTAGCCACAGCTGAATAAACGACCAATCCTTTTACGTAACGCTGGGAAACACCCATACACTCTTGCATTCACACACATACACTACGGCCAATTTAGTTTTCTCAATTTATATACACCCCTATGTCTTTGGACTGTGGGGGAAACCGGAGCAACCAGAGGAAACCCACACAAACACGGGGAGAACATGCAAACTTTACAGAGAAATGCCAACTAACCCAGCCGGGGCTCGAGCCAGTGACCTTCTTGCTGTGAGGTGATCATGCTACCCATTGTGCCACCATGACGCTTATCACAGTAAATGTAAGGTCTAAACAAGAGATGCCCAAAATAGGGCCCATGGGACAAAGTTGGCCCATTGTAACCTTTGATTTGTCCCGCCATCCCATCTGAGAAAATTTGGGAGAATGAATGGTTTCGAGATTGTCAATTCAAACTCAATGTAACCCTTTGTTTGTTTTATTGTTAAAAGAATGGAATGTTTCAATTAAATGCTGTAAATGAATCAGATTTTGTTTAAATGTACATATTGTCATCTGACAATGCAGAGACTTTGGTGAGCAAATCAAGTCAAAGGCAGAGTCTGTTTGCCTAGTGTATTCAAAGTTTAACTCCTCTGTGTTATAAATGTGATTGTTTGATATAATATAAAAAGTTATACTGCATTTTAATATAATTTTAAGTAATGTTTTATATTTACTTTGAACACTATGAAATAAACTATAAAATGACTCATGGCAACTTTGATGTAATTTAGTTTGATATATTTACTTTCGGCCTACCGCTCTCAATGATATTAGTTTTTTTGGCCCTTCATAGGAAAAAGTTTTGGCACCCCTGGTCTAAACTCATGTTTTACTACATAATAAAAACCTCAGCATGGAAAAAGATGAGCACTTTGCTGATTTTTATGCTGAAATTCATGCAGAGAAACTTTTTTTTTTTTTTTAGCAGAAACAAGACAGTGAAGTTTTAAGGTTAGTGATTGCAAACAATGCAAACAAAGTTTTTTTTCTTTTTTAAGGTTAGTGATTGCAAACAATGTATATGGACCCATATTAAATTCAGCCCATACAAACTGTTTGCAAACACTTACCTTAAAAAAATGGAGAAAATCCAATGAAAAAAAATTGCAAATCCAGTGAATCATTTTTTTCAGTGTAGCAAGTCATACATTTCTATAAATAAATAATAATAAAATGAAGATAGTAGAGTGCATTTTAAAAGTCAAGAAAATAACCATCCAACAGACTGGTTGTATATTTCCTATTGTTCACATTGCTCAATAATAGGCCCAACTAATTTGGTGAAGCCAAGATTTCTCGCCAGAGGGCGGCCTTGTACTGTATTCGACTGTTTATGAACAATACAAAATATGAGCCAGGTGAGAGTGATGACAAAAGTGTGCTTCGTTACATAGCCTTTGTAAATAATAATGATACTAAATAATTAGAAGATATTGCGTTTATAACAATTGTATCCATTAGAATAGATAAAAAATAGTTATATTAATAAAAACAACAGCCATTTTAACAATAATGACAAACAATTACATTACAACTTATTTAAAACAATAACGATAATTATATATATATTGTATATATTATTATATATATTATATTATATATATATAATATATATAATTTTATATATATATGTAATATAATTACAATATTATTAATCATAAAATTGTATATTTTAATAATAGTTGATGATAATAAATAACACATTATATAATATAAAATAAAGCTATATTAATATTATTATTGATAACTTGAACAGCTTAGATAGATAGATAGATAGATAGATAGATAGATAGATAGATAGATAGATAGATAGATAGATAGATAGATAGATAGATAGATAGATAGATAGATAGATAGATAGATAGATAGATAGATAGATCATATAATAGGCTAATATAAATTCAAAGAATAGGCTACATAACATCTGATGTGACCGAACGTTGCCATGCAACAAAAATAACTAAGCTGACGTTTTATCGAAGCTGAAAACAGAACTGAAAGCTGTTATAAAACCAGAAGTGGAAGTAACCTATATGCCTCTGCTGGAAAAAAAGAACCCATCACTGAACATTTTATAGGTTTCTATGCAAATGTCATTAAACCATATTGTATAGCTTGCATTGCTTTTAAAATGCCCAAATAGAAGGCAACACAAACAGTTTACATGTCCATTTTAATAACCATCAATACAATTACAAATTTCATAATGATTTCTATTGTTTGTTTGTTTTTTCAGGAGCGTTATCCAGTTTTCATCAAAATGCACATGTTTTAAATTAGAGTCATTCTATGTCAGCATTTAGTTCCCCTAAAAAAGGTTCTGTTTATCAGGCTACATTAATTAAGCTACCAGCCTAAACGTTGTTTTATTTTGGAAGGTGTGTGGGTTCACTCGCCGTTTCTTCACTCTGAGAGAAAGTGTATGTGTGTGTGTGTTCAGTGTTTCTAGTGTGAGAGAGCGGAGTTTCTCCTGTGTTTGGCTCTTGTGGAGCTCAGATCTGCACTCAGAAAGCTCATCATCATCATCATCATGACGCTCCCTCTCCACTTCAAGCGCGCGGAATATTTGTTCACGTTGAAAAGATCAACAACTCAGTAATGTTCACGACACATGGCGCCGAATTGGTTTTGGCTTCCAGAGAGACCGAAATTGCCATTTTCAATGGGTCA